CCATGTTTTCATCAACAAATCAAGAGATCTGATCAGCAAAAAAAACAAAGCAAAACAAGCAAACAACCGAAGTGTGAACATAAATCTGCAAGGGTGATCGTACTATGCAAAAAAGAAAATTAAAATATATTTTAAAAAGACCATAGACACCAGTCGAGCTTCAACAGAGCGGTGTTGTAGACAGCTTCTTTTGCAATTTCTTGCGGCTTCAAAAAACATGGCAATAACAGAGGCGTTCTGCTAAAATTTTCGCACAGAAGAGAAGAAGACGAAGAAGAAGAAGAAGAAGAAGAAGAAGAGACTATAACACATTAGAATTAATGAGAGATCCTATGGATAACAATTTTTGTTTTCCGTTACAGACTGATGCCTAGGCCAAACGTTGAACTTTTCATGAGACGAACCAAACTCTAAATTAGTTGGGTCGACCTAAGTTAAATTAAGATCGTCTGTTGGGTCAGACGTAACCTGTTCCAGACTCTCAGTTAGTGGGGAAGACGCGAAAGTGAAACGCACGCGAAATGTTGGCGGAGCGTGTTTGCACTTTCTCAATTCAGCAGACCCTACTATCTCGGAGCCTGGAACAGGCTAGGTCAGACGTCAAACTTAGGACGCGTCGAACCAATCAACTGAATCAGAGCAAAAAGCAATTCTAGCAGAGCGAGGCTAAATACACAACATTATTATATAAATTTTGAAGTTATTAGTTTTTTTTCGTCGCAGGTGAATTAACAGATATTTTATTTATTATTTTTTTGTGAATAAAGTTTTTTTTACTTACCAGCACTAAAATTAGAATCTGTTAACATTTGTACCTAGTAACAGACATTGTTTTTCTAAAACATTGGCAACAAATATCATCCATCATCTCCTCAGATCACTGTTTTAGCCACTTTTGTGCTTCTGGGTTGCCCAGGGTTAAATTTCGAATAGTCGACATTGATAAAAAAGTTCCGAACGTCAACTGCCCACTGGCGATATTGCCTTCAATTGTTCATACTGTTACGTAATTAAAGGAAGACCCACTTTTTTCTCGTGCATGCCGAGCTTATTGCTTTTTGCACATATACCCACTTTTATTGATCGTGCATAAAACGACAAAGTTTCTTGCTTTTTGCTTATGATTAAAAGCCCAAGGTCTTTGGAAAAAATAAAGTATCTTGAATTGGTGGATTTTTTTTTTTGAAGGGTTCCAAGTTTAATACGCAATATAATATACAGTCTCATAGCCCAACTGCTCCTTCACTGGACCCACGTATTATGATAGTCTCGATTAATTCACACTAATTAAGATATTAAGCCAAGGTCGAAAATACATATACTGTTCGTCGGGATTTCAGCTCTTGTTAAGTGCTTTTTTCAGTCAGAATCATAGGAGTATTTATTTCTCGCAGCTTGTCCTTTGACAGATCAGTTCTTTTTTCAGTTACTGGCGTGAACACTACTAGGTCAGTAACAAGCGACTGGCACGGTTGGATACGACAGAAAGAACGGTTAGAGCAGCTGTGAAGTTCACTTGATAACAGTCTTAGGTATGTATTATCTTTCATTGAAGATATAACTTACACATCGAATACCTTTACACCTATCAGATTTCGAGCAACGACTATTAACTAACGCTATTCCACTTTTTCAGTCTGCGACCCCAGAAATGCTTTGATAAACAAACCACTCCCCAAAGGGCTTGTTAAGGCTAAATTCACGTATTTTTTACATGTCTTTTCATTTCTTGACCAAACTTTCCAGATAGACTACGATTACTGACCAAATGATATTAAGTTTTTGTTTGACGCAAAATGTTAAATTGTGATGTCACCAAGGCTGACATCACCAAAATGGGTTAAATGCAGTTTATAATTTCAAAGTCAAACTTACATCATTTGAAATGGCTTTAGAAGAGGAGTAAAACAGTGAAAACCGTACAACCCGAGTTATAAGACTTCAAAGAAATTTGATTTCACCCCCTGGAACCATACTTTTCCTTAAAAAACGATCCCTCTGATATTTTTTTCACACTTTTTGGCAAAATAAGCTGATTTTCCGGCGACACATACCTTTTATAGTTGGCCAAAATCGTATAATAATAGATTTTTGTTTTTTGACTCAAAAACACTAGTTTAAGCAAACCAAAAAATTGATCACGTGACATTTCATGACGTCACAAAACTGTTTTTCGGGTTTTTGCGCAGTTAGGAATTTCTTTTTTCAAATTTTTCTTTTTCCTTTAGCTTTCGACAGTAAAGATGTGTTACTCGAAAATAAAACTCTGAAATTAAGACTTATTTTAAAAGGGGGGTACCCGGTTTTTGCTATCCGAATTTATCCAAATTCAAAATGTCATATCTCAGCGCATATTTGAGATACTGAAAAAAAAATTTCAGCTTTCAAATTCCCTCGAATAGTTCTTTCAAAAACGATATGAAAATTTGGGAGATTCAAAAGTTTAAAATTTACGTATGAATGACGTCAGCAAATATGACGTCATAATTTGACATTTGGTGTCATCCTATGAGCAATTTTGATTGGCCTGATGTTTCGTATTTTCAGGCCAAGTTTGGTTGGGAAAGAGTGAAAGCAAGCAAAGTTATTTTAAATTATTCGAAATTGTCACGTTTTGATAAGCCATTTGGGGCTGGTTTGGCCCCACCGTGAATTGACACCTTTCTCGAGGCCCTCGCATGGTACAATTTGTTTTCTAGGACTTAAAAAAGTAAGGTTAATTAAAGTGTTTTTTTTTTTTCGTTTCATGAATTTGCGCTTTACACACCATTAGGACAGTCAAGGAAGGTCAATTTCTCACATTTTTTGATATCATATCAGTCGATTTTATTGTTGTCTTTCTGCTTTGTGATCGAATTTTAGAAACCTTGAAATGGTATCAATAATGAAGTTGTTGGTGTTGTTCACTACCATTGGTGCTGTCTATAGCGAGGGCGGTAAGTTGTGAATTATGAGATGTAGAAGACATAACAACTAGGACTGTATTTTTGTCCCCAACATTTGCAGTTATCGTTTGAAACTATACTCCCAGTATAGGTTATTAGGATGTGTACCTGTCATTTTGTAAACTCGTTTCATATCGTCAATACCCGATACTATAGCGTTTTAGGGTGTCGCAAATGACACTGTCCTTTCGCTCGTATTTTTTTTTTGACTTTTCATCGTTATTGTTAATAAGCTTACATAGAACATCTCGGCTACTGAGAGTAGGCTTTGATAGATTGTGTTGGCAAAACTAGCATAATATGCTACTAGCAGTGCTAAAATTATGCCAACAACTGTGCTGGTTTTGTAAATTATGCTCATTTTTTAGCCAAAAATGCAGAAATCGTGCTTCAGCTTTTTACTAAATTGAGTAAAAACACCTCAACATCTATGTAAAGCACAAGTAAATGGCAAACACACTTACCCTATTTTCATGTAGAAACTCTAAGAGGGCATGATTCATTGTCTAACACCTTTAAAGACTAAATCAATTAACAACCAGCAAGCAGACGCCATCTTGGGTAACCGCCGAGCAAGTTATGCGCATGCATTCGAGCCCCAGGCCTTCGTCAGAACGAATCCGCCAAGCAAGCGAGCGATCAACAAGTCATCAAGTGACAAAGAAGCTACAAAGCAGCCTTCCTGGGTATATATTTTTAAGAAAACGCGAAATAAAACTTTAAAGTAAAATTTCGTCCCCGTATTGGTCCTCGTCTTTGAATAAAAAAGGTCTTTAAAGGAGGTCCTTAAAGGAGGGAGATCTTCGCAAAGTTAGTAAGTTAGCTACATGCAGTGGAACTTTGGATTCGCTCTAACGAAGAGCCTACGCTTGAAACGTCCATCCTCTAAACTCCCCACCCCCCACCCCCAGTCTACCTTCACTTGTGAAATCAGGATAAACCCAGATCTTTGGGTTTTACACCACCATCAACGCAACACCACAGTTTCCTTGTTAACTAGCCCCAATATTTATAGTTATCTTTATTGTGTTTCCAGACCATAAATGGGGCTATGTAAACATCACAGAAGATGGCGGTTAGTATAACTGGAGCTACATAAACCTTTAGTTAGTTACTGTCCTTCTGTATTAGAGCGAACTTTGATCTGGTACGCAAAATGCAATTTGTTAAAGAACCTCGAGATCTGGGAAATCCATGACAGGTTCTTGAGAATAGTAGATCCTAAAGAGGCGTTCAAAAAAGGTACAGCCATAGAAGACAGTGCAAGCTTTTGACCCAGACGATAATAAGGCATTTTATAAGACAGTTATTTCTCGTCCACCTTATGAGTTTGAATGGCTTCTCCTTCATTCTAATCTAACTTACCCGCTGAAGAGATTTCAGTGTAATGAACATATAGTGTAGAAATTAGTTTGGTAATTCATACTAAACGTATGATTAGTGGAAAAGTGTCCTGCGACTTTCACACAAATCATGAGAAAAGTCAGATTGACGTGCTCACAAGCGTTTTTAACCCAGTGATAAATTCGTAAATTTGTTTTGGCGTCTCATTGGTAGATTGAATTAATTATTTTACGTTATGTTTGAAGGGGTTGGTTCTGAAACAAACTGTACGGAGCTGCGTCGGTTTGGGGGTCAAACAGGATAAAGTACTAAGTTTTATCAACTACAATTAGTTTTGTCAACGTTGATAAAGTCACTTTTATAATAATCACCTTTATAGGGTGTTCCGTCGGATTGAGGTTGAAACGAGAACAATAGTTTTATCAACAAAGTTTATAAAATTTCTTTTTACCACCTTAAAAGTGCGTTAATAAAACCAAATTTATCGAATTTCAGTACTCTCAATATCATCTGATTTTTAAAGAGCAGCTGCAATTTACCTGGCTTTTATCGTCGTCTTGTTGATAGAAGTGACTGCCATGGCATGTTTTGAGTCAGAGCGAATAACACAAGTTTCGCTCTACCGAAGGTAGGTTTTTGTACATTACGCTTTTAATTTGTTTCCCCACTAAAATGCTCCATTTTTTAATTTCCTTGTTCGTTATAGTGAAAGGTCCTGAAGACTGGCACGATCTAAAGCTGAACAAAACCAATCAGTGTGGTGGAAATAGACAATCCCCAATAAACATCAAAACAAGCGAGGTTGAGGAAGAAGATAGCTACCGTCGTTTAAAAATCGCTTTTGACAACACAAGGGGACTTGTTACTGGAACGCTTGAAAACAATGGGCATTCACCTGAACTTATAATTGCTGATTCCAATGGAGCTTCACTAACTGGAGGTCCCCTTGGGAATAACAAATTCGAATTAATCCAGTTTCATGTTCACTTTGGCTGTGTTAATGAACGCGGGTCTGAACACAAGCTCAATGGAAAACAACTGTCTGGTGAGGTAAGCGATAACAACGACGTGAACCTTTTTTCTTTTACATTTTACACGGTTCGGTATTTCAGTTTTCTCATATCCTGCATGGCCCGTGATGTCTTTGTTAAGGGAAACGATTACAATGGACGAAACGATTACCCAGGGCGGACGGGAATGTATATAAATCACCAATATTCAGTGCTGAGCCATATTACTCGCAATTGCGGGCGCAGTGCTTTCTTGAGTGATCTTTCAGTGGGCAACAAAGTGGGAGTATGCAAAAGTTGAAAAAGAGTAACCAGAAGTTATTGTTGTATAGGAAACATCTTACTATTTAGACACTAAACGATCAAGTGCCTCTACTAGGTCCCTACTTGAACCAACTCATCGGGAATGACCTTAAACTTCTTTTGTCTTCCNTTAAAAATCGCTTTTGACAACACAAGGGGACTTGTTACTGGAACGCTTGAAAACAATGGGCATTCACCTGAACTTATAATTGCTGATTCCAATGGAGCTTCACTAACTGGAGGTCCCCTTGGGAATAACAAATTCGAATTAATCCAGTTTCATGTTCACTTTGGCTGTGTTAATGAACGCGGGTCTGAACACAAGCTCAATGGAAAACAACTGTCTGGTGAGGTAAGCGATAACAACGACGTGAACCTTTTTTCTTTTACATTTTACACGGTTCGGTATTTCAGTTTTCTCATATCCTGCATGGCCCGTGATGTCTTTGTTAAGGGAAACGATTACAATGGACGAAACGATTACCCAGGGCGGACGGGAATGTATATAAATCACCAATATTCAGTGCTGAGCCATATTACTCGCAATTGCGGGCGCAGTGCTTTCTTGAGTGATCTTTCAGTGGGCAACAAAGTGGGAGTATGCAAAAGTTGAAAAAGAGTAACCAGAAGTTATTGTTGTATAGGAAACATCTTACTATTTAGACACTAAACGATCAAGTGCCTCTACTAGGTCCCTACTTGAACCAACTCATCGGGAATGACCTTAAACTTCTTTTGTCTTCCCCAGCTTCACATGGTATTTGGTCATGATGAAGAACCACGAGTTGTTGTAGCCGTTTGGATTAAGGTACAACCTGCAGTCTACCTTCCTTCCAGCAATTCGACCTCTATATAAACATTTCAACTTACATATGCAGAGCAACCTTCCCCTCCCCTTCCCCTCCTTCGTAAAGAAGTAAAATCCTATTCTTGCAAAACGTGGCTATAACCATCCACAGACAAAAAAATTCTAATAATTCAGAGCAGTTTGCTATGAAAGTGCTAGTCTATTTACTCAAGAATATTTTTTTTATTTCCTTTAAATTAAATAAGGCCGAAATGTGAAGCCTACAGAGACTTTCATTAATTTTTAACCAGTTGTGTCACCTTCGAAAAAAACGGGCACCTAAACCAGTCAAAAAAATTGAAATAATGAATTCTTGAGAAGTCTATTTGGATGCACCTGAAAATAATTATGTGTGACCTGAAGTGGAAATTAAAATTATAACAAGCCTTTTTGGAAGATGGCGTCATTTTAATTCTACGACCATAATCCTTTCGTTTTTCCTGTTCATATATAAATTTGGTAATCCCAGCGACATTGCAATTACCAAAGCCGTAATTTGAAACAAAGCAAAACATGAAGGATTCTGGTCGTAGTATTAGAGGAACGTCATCTTGACGTCATTCTAAATTGTTTAATTATTATAGGCAGCTTCCAAGGGAAACAAAATTTTTGGGAAGTTGGCAAATCTGATGCACCACATTATCAAGCCTGGTAGGTGTTTTAGAGAAACTATAAGCGAAGAATACAAAAACAGCCAAAACCCATCACCATCTAGCAGCTACTATTTAATTGTGATACCATAGCGTAGTAGGAGGATGCACCGACCCTCTTCGTGCTGTGATATAATTTTCGTTAGATTTTAGAGCGGGCATGCTCCGCAATATCACAAAATCAGATCACAAGCTACTACTAACAAAGCTACTAATACAAAATGAGACCAATAACTAAAAGCCTCCTCCGCTAGTCTGTTTCACAGCCGTTCTTTGTACTCGTCACGCAACGCTCTTCTTGGGGAGGAACGTTGCGTGACGACACAAAGAACGGCTGTACGTGGAGCAGACCATTCCTTCGCAGGATACTGTGATTAAGGCATAGTTTTAACATAGCTTAAAACACACACAGTCGTGCAGCGCTTGTAGTCATATATTCCAAATTCAAAATTGTTCCCTAACTTCCTTTCATTAAAAGCAAGATTGTTTTACTGGACAATTGATAAGACACGAGCCTCGAGTTACTTGCATGGCTTCAAAAGATATAGCTTAGGTTCGTAGGTTAAACAATTATTTTAGGGTATCAAAAAATTGTTATAAGCAGTTAGCTATTAACAATAATGTCTCTCTGATCCACCATAAGATTACATTAAACCTTCTGTTCAACTGCCAGTTACAGAGCCAATGAGATGGAGACAAGTATTTTGCAACTTTAAATGTGGGTCTGAATCTGGTGTGCGAACGTCGGTTATTAGTTAATAATATTTCCAACCCTAGAACAATCCGTAAACTTTTTGCATCTTGAGAACGCACCTCGATAGCTTCCAAGTAAAAACAACCAAAAATTCACGAACCTCTTTTGAGTTTGTGGGCAAAATCTTACTGTGTGACCTCTGAAATGTAAGGTACAATTCACCGTCATATTATTTTTACAGAGGATACCTATCCTGTGACGAAGGAACATGGAATTTATTTAAAGGATCTCATTCCCAAAAAATGCTCCATTAAAAAGGGCAATGGTAATGGCAAAGGTGGTAATGGTAATGGCGGCAATGGTAATGGTGGCAATGACAATGGTGTCAGTGGCAGAAATAATAACAACAATAATGATAATGAAAAGAAGAAAGGAGGCGCCAAACGTTTGACTTTAAAATGTTACTTCACTTACCGGGGTTCCCTCACTACGCCTCCTTGCACTCAAACAATACGGTGGATAGTTCTGAAAGATTATATCCTCGCTTCTACCAGCCAGGTATGTAATGCTAACTAACTTGAATTAAACCTAGCTTAAGGAAACTTCTACGCTTTACAATTAGGAGTGTACACTCGACAAGTACTAAGATAACACATCGGTGGCTCAGCCACTTACTGTCAGAATAAATGAGACTTTCTTTGGAAGTGGGGTGATGTTGGGAAGACAGTCTTTTCACTGGACTACTCGTTTTTGCCTTTTTTCTTAAATTGGAGGACCTTTTGCCACATATGGCGAATATTTCAGTAGCAAAAGCGACCACTATGTCCAACATTTTAAAGTTTTTAACATTGTAATACAAACAAACAATTGGAATAACATATGACGTATAGTATGTTAATATTTCTTAGACAAGCTTAAAGGAGTCAACCGGCCTTTTGCACTGATTAGTTGAACACGTGTTCAACTTTCTGTAAACACGAAAACAGTTAGCTTTTGAAAAATTTGGTTAACAGGGACTGAAAGAGCATATTAAAATTAGGTAACCTATAAATTTTCAGCCGTATGTCGCAAAATTAGCCATGGCAACGGTCGCTGAAAATTACGAGGATTTGTATGGTAAAAACAACTCTTGCCACCCTGGCAGTCACGATTAAGTGGTTTTCCATACAAACCCTGTAAATTTGGAAATTAAGGGGCTTAAATCTCCTTTTTATTCATAACAGGCAATTTGAGCCCTTAAATACGTAAGGGAAAGATTTAATAACAGTATTTACAAGGATTTTGCAAATTAAGGCCTATTCTACAAGATTACAGGCAGGCTCCTCTGTTGCATATGCGACAACGTCAGACCAACACATTCACTGTATTTAAATTGAACCACAAACTGTTAGTTTAAAAAGCAAATGATGCGTCGTTAATAAACTAATTGATTAATTTTGTTTGTTTTTTGTGTTCTAGCTCGAAAAGTTCAGGAAACTTGAAGCAAAGTATTATGGTCCGCACATGTGCGACAACTTCAGACCTGTCCAAAAATTGAACGACCGCGATGTCTACTCCGTCTCAAAAAAAAATAATGACAAGTGAATCATAAAGGCAATAAATTAAACAAACAAAGCTGGCAGTACTGGTAAACAAAACAGGCAAAGTGCATATCATAAGAGCTCATGCTATTCAATACTCTTAAAGAAAGGCAAAAGAAAGGGGGAAAAAGGAACTTGACCTTCAGGAAGAATTAATTAAAGCAAAAAGTAAACTTGAAAATAATCCAAACGACCATAACAAAACCTATTATAACGTAGTTCAGGAGAAGTTGAAGTCGTTTTACGAAGAAAAAAACAAAGGCGTAATAATACGAGCACGTGCTAGATGGCATGAACATGGAGAGAAAAGCACAAAATATTTTTTAAACTCAGAAAAAAGGAACCACGTAAAGAAGCATATAAGAAAACTGTGCATAAATGGTAAAATTACAACGGATCCGCACAGTATACTAAAAGAACAAGAGCGTTTTTACAGAGAATTGTACAAAAGCAGCATTAATAGTCCTAATATAGGAGAGAAAATATCTTCATTTTTGAACGATCTGAATATTCCCCAACTTTCAGAGAAGGAAAAAAATTCCTGTGAAGGATTAATTTCTCTAGAAGAATGTTCTGAACTCTTGGATAGCTTTCAGAGTAATAAATCCCCTGGAAATGATGGCATTCCAGCTGAATTCTATAGAAAATTTTGGCCTTTAATAAGCGAAAGTTTTAACAGGGGTGCAAATGAATGCTTCGAAAAAGGGTGAATGTCATGCTCACAAAAACAGGCTGTAATTACTCTGCTTGAGAGCGGAAAAGATCGCGCTCTCCTCGAAAACTGGCGGCCAATATCTCTTGTTAATGTAGATACGAAAATTATGTCCAAGGTGATCGCAGCAAGGGTTAAGAAGGTGTTACCCAGTATCATTCACTACAACCAGACTGGTTATGTTAAAGATCGTTTCATTGGTGAAGCAATACGTTCTATTTTCGATATTATGGACTTCACAGCTAAGGAAAACATCCCAGGTTTACTGCTGTTTATAGATTTTCAAAAAGCTTTTGATAGTGTGGAATGGGAATTTCTCATTGAGAGTCTTAGAAAGTTTAACTTTGGTCGAGACTTCCTTCAATGGATGAAAACCTTTTATAACAGCATTCAAAGCTGTGTTATAAACAATGGCGTTAGTTCTAACTTTTTTACTCTGGAACGCGGTGTTAGGCAGGATGATCCACTCTCTCCTTACTTATTTATAATTGCTGTAGAAACTTTAGCAATTGCTATAAGGCAAAAAGAGTCAATTAAAGGAATCACAATAGGAACTGAGGAAACTAAGCTTTTACAGTTTGCAGACGATACAACCGCTGTGTTAGCTGACACAAGCTCGGCCGCAAGATTATTTNTATCATTCACTACAACCAGACTGGTTATGTTAAAGATCGTTTCATTGGTGAAGCAATACGTTCTATTTTCGATATTATGGACTTCACAGCTAAGGAAAACATCCCAGGTTTACTGCTGTTTATAGATTTTCAAAAAGCTTTTGATAGTGTGGAATGGGAATTTCTCATTGAGAGTCTTAGAAAGTTTAACTTTGGTCGAGACTTCCTTCAATGGATGAAAACCTTTTATAACAGCATTCAAAGCTGTGTTATAAACAATGGCGTTAGTTCTAACTTTTTTACTCTGGAACGCGGTGTTAGGCAGGATGATCCACTCTCTCCTTACTTATTTATAATTGCTGTAGAAACTTTAGCAATTGCTATAAGGCAAAAAGAGTCAATTAAAGGAATCACAATAGGAACTGAGGAAACTAAGCTTTTACAGTTTGCAGACGATACAACCGCTGTGTTAGCTGACACAAGCTCGGCCGCAAGATTATTTGAACTACTTAACAAATTCGAAATTCTCTCTGGACACAAGGTTAACTGTTCAAAAACTGAAGGTATGTGCATTGCATCTAAGAGACATTATAAAGAAAAGCCATTCGCTATTAAATGGCTGGACGAGCTAATAAAAGCTCTAGGTGTATATTTTACTTATGACCAAAAATTGCTTAAAGAAAAGAATTTTATAGAACGACTGGATTCAATTAAAAAACTTATTAATATATGGTCCGCTAGAGGCCTGTGGATATACGGTAAGGTGACAATAATCAAATATTTTCTTATCCCTAAGTACATTTACATTTGTTCGATCCTTCCAACTCCCAAAGAATTGCTAAAAGAATTGAATAAAATACTATTTAAATTTCTCTGGAAAGGTGTAGATAAGGTAGCAAGAGCTTCAGTTATAAACGACTACGAAGAGGGAGGGCTAAGAAAGGTTGATCTCGAGTGCATGGTTAAATCATTGAGATTAGCTTGGTTAAAACGTATCTTCAGTGGGACTAATGGAACTTAGAAAAGCTACCTACAACACATACATACTGAGCCCCGTTGGGGGATTGTTCTTTTTAAACTGCAACTACAATATTTCGGATTACACAATTCCTTCTCAATTTTATCAGGAACTTTTGTTATGGTGGTCGCAATTTCGTGAAACGTTTGCCACTGAAGAAGATTGGAAAACGATAATCTGGAATAACAAAGAAATAAAAGTAGAAAACAAGCCGATTTATTATAAACATTATGTTAATGCGAGAGTCATTTGCATTCAGGATCTTTTATTTAGTCTGAACAGTACTGATTCTTATAATCAACTGTCTAAAAAAAATATGCAAAACAAATATTTTAGAATGGGCTGGCTTACGCAGGTCCAATATTCCATTACCGTTAAGAAGTTATGACAGGTATGCTTCCATAAACTCACCAACATTTGTGGTGGGTAACAATAATTTTGATGTTACGAAAGGGAAATCAAAGGATTACTACATCCTACTCATCAGAGAAAAAGCTAAACCGCCCAATATTATTCAAAAATTACAGAGTAACTTTCATTTTAACAGCGACAATCTAAAGCAAATATTTAAGCTGCCACATTCTATCGTTGTCGAATCGTATGTTAAAGTTGTATAAAATAGGTTTTAGAACAAATGATTTATGTACTTTCTGTGACAATCAACCTGAATCATTAACCCATTTGTTCTATCACTGCTCACGCTCCAAACAGTTTTGGATTGAATTTGAACTATACTGGTGCCTTATTTCGAATCAACGAATTCGTCTCTGCTTGGAAAATGTGCTCTTTGAAATTTTGACGGAAAATGCTTGCCCTTTACTTCAATTGCTGAACTATTTTATAATTATTGAAAAACTCTATTTGTGGGACTGCAGGAGCAAACAAATCCTTCCAAACATTTATGGATTTAGAGCCAAGATCATCGCTAAATATGAAACAGAAGAAAATATCGGCAACAAAAAATTCTGTAAAAGAAAGCGGATACTGACGCCTTATTTAAGTTAACTGTATTAAGTCCGTATTACTTCATTGCCCTGTTGTACTTTTTTATAATTTCTTTTAGCCCTGTAATAATTTGACAATTAATTTTGCTTTACTCTGTTAAGGTCTCTTGTTAAAGTGTTTTAAATGTAATTATTTAATGTGATTATCAATAAACATATATATATATATATACACCCGTTTTCAAAAAGGTTTTCTTATAGAGAGATATATAGATAGATATATATACTTTTGTTTTCTTGCACGTGCGCCCGTGTGCATTTTTCATTTGCTATTGTCCAACTTGTGAAAAACCTCGGTTCAACGATAAATTTTTTCTTCGTCGGGTTCTTTGTTCGAATTTGAAAAGAACGTGTCGTTTGAGTTTTTTTAGAAAAAAGCATCCGCCCTGCAATACAAATTTGCAATGACGAATTATATGACTGATTTTGGAATGAGGAAAACAGCCCGCGAAGCAGCCGAGTTATTTATGCGGCGTCACTAAATTGATAGGCCGAATGTCATGGCATCTCAAGCAACTGGCGAAGCATTTTTATTGACGGAGTGTATTAAAAAATGCGCTGTCCAGGGGCGTGCTTAAGAGAAACTTTTCAACTAACTTGAAAAAATTTGTGGCCGAGAGTTTATTCTGTCTTCAGTGAGACGTTGCCTTACGGGCCGTGATTTTACACGAAAAAAGGTGAGACATTAATATGTATTACCCGCTCATCATGATCATGGTTATGATAAATTCTACTTCTATGAAACTAGTCAACGTCTTGGTCCGTTTTAATCAACTGCTATGATATTTTTGCTCCTTCCCACATAACCAATATCGACATCCACCGTCACATCTTCCTTCTCAGAAAAAAAAAAATCAGCGGTTTCGAAAACACTTTCTTTTTCATTTTATCTGCGTTGTTGTAAAAATGAAAAATCTTTGATGATTTTCTCCTTATCCTGTAAATACAACAATTTTATGACCTACAACTGACCGAATTCCGCATTCTTTAATTTTCAAAAGAATGCAAATCAAGTGAATTGCAGACAATATTCGTGCATTCTCGTTTGTATTGACAAATTGGAACAAAGAACCTGACAAGCAGAGAATTTATCGTTGAGGCGAGTTTTTTCACAAGTTGGACAATAAGAAGTGAAAAATGCGCACGGGCGCACGTGCAAGAAAACAAAACTATATATCTATCTATATATCTCTCTATATGAAAACCTTTTTGAAAACGGGTGTATATATATATAAGTGCATATCATGTTGAGATAGCACTTAATTGTGCTCTTTTAAGTGTTTTTTATGAATTTTATGTTTTCGTTAATCTTTGTAAGGTTTTTTGTAAGGCAAAAAATTACTTTATTTTGCACTAATGTATCTTGTTTGTTCTCAATAAACTGGTGATGAAATTTATTGCGGAGTCACTGATTTATTTAAATCCTCTCCTCAAAGCAATGATACACAACTAGTTTTTCAATTTTTCAATTTTTGAAAGCACTTTGATGGATCGAGATAACCCGAATTCCAATTTTTGCTTCCGCCTGCGGCGTTTGATCGGGTAAATACGCGTATTTTTAGTAGCAAATACGGCAGCTGGAATTTTTCTTAACATCGTTTGGGGAACATGGTAGTTGAATTTTGAAAATACAAGGGAATACCTCGAAATAGTTAG